TTAAAATACCCGTGGCAGGTAAGTACTTAATACACGTGGGAAAGAGGCCAATTGTGCTCACGAGTTACGTAAGGCAATACAGTGGCGCCAGGAGAGTGGGCTCAGCGAGCGGTCAGCATGTCGCGTGCCAAAGCTGCCACTCATCCAACAACAACAATGCAGCGATTAATGGATGAATGACGTGAAAAAAAAAATCTTTGTCAACCATCTTCTTGGTTCTTTCTACGTGACTTTACCCAAAGAACCAAGAAGATGAATCCCTGCAGTCACGAAAGCTTTAAATCGAAACTTTGTCAACCAGTTAATCCACTGCTGGATGAAGGCCTCTCCCCCCCTCCCCCAGCCACAGTGTGGGTCACGGAGTTGTTTGTCCATACTTCATGTGGGCTGGTGGAGGAGGGGGCCCAGTCCACGGGCTCGAAGTGGTTTCAAATGAGCAACTCACGCGGTGCTCTTCGGTGTACAGCCCTGAGCCAGTGGTGGAAATTCCACATTTCTGTGACGGGGGAGAATGGACTTCCCCACAAAAGTGAAACTCGTTTTTATCCACCCGGAGGGACGAATGATGGTCTGAGTCAACATCCAAACGAGGATTTGACCTCGCGACCTTCCTACCGCTGAACCACGTGATGGGTTCCTTGCGTCCACTATCTCAAGCGATATTTGACCACAATTGGCGACGTATATCAGAGCGGACTTCGTGAACTTCACTTCAGGAATAGAGAAAACGCCAGTGACGCCGGGCAATAGAGAGAACGCCTTCACGGCTGTGACACCACCGCGTGGAGATGAGATGGAGCAATGAAATCGGATCAGGCGCCAGATGCGAGGTGGTTAAATGGGTAGCAACACTGGACTGTTAGGAACGGCGACGGCGTGGAGAGGTTTTCGTCCAGCAGTGGATGGATAGATGGTGGCTAATGACGATGTTGATGACATATGTATACATATATGGTTTGTTGTCCTTCCCCCGCACCTCCGATTAGCACGCTTGGCTACGTACGGTGCGAAATTAAGTTCAACACACACGCATGCACGTGATGTTCGCCGTGGCCAGGAATTTAACTCGGGTCCCTGAGTGCGCCGAGCACTGCGCCACCGCTCCACAGGCTCACTCACACGCACCGCTCCACAGGCTCACTCACACGCACCGCTCCACTGGCTCACTCACACGCACCGCTCCACAGGCTCACTCACACGCGCCGCAGGGCGCGATGGAGGGCGGGGATGGTCTCTGGAGGAGCAGCAGGAGCAGCAGGAGCAGCAGCAGGAGCAGCAACAGGAGGAGGAGCAGGAGGAGGAGCTGCTGCTGCTGCCGTGGAGAGCCTCCGGCGTGGTCACGGGGCATGCCCGGGCCCGCCTGGACCCAGCACAGGCCACGCGGCCCCACGCATCACACCACCACTGCCGCACAGCAACAATAATTATTCTTATTATTGTAATTATTATAATAATGCCAATTGCTTATCCGGAAATAAGCCTCAATGTGTCCATGTGCAAAATTACTTTTTAATTCCCACAAAGTGATACTCGTTTCATCGACCATGGATGGGTTATTAGGATTACGCTTGTTCATTCAGGAAAGCCTCACCGAGTCTCAACAATCTTTTCAAGAGGGTATTGCCAAGTTTTCGCAGTAGGGGAGGCGATAGTGCTGCTGCGTGTGATCCCAATTGGGGTAATTTAGAGGCATTTTAAAAAGGATTTGGGATGTTTGGCCAATACCAGCTATATATTCCTTTTTTTGCAATATGAGGAAATCGGAGAACCCAGAGAAACCCCATGTAGGACAGGAGGAGGGAAAACACAAACTCCACACGGTGAGACGCCCATGTCGGGAATCGAACCCAGGTACTGCTTGCTGTGGGGGGCACCAGTGTAAACCAGTGACATTGATTAATATATGAATGAAGTGAGCAGTGGTGGTTCTAAACGTACTATTCCTGCGTATGATGGCAGCAATCTGTTCAGAAGCTCGATTCCAATGTCGAGGTCTGTTTCGGCAGAGAGAGTTCGTGCCGTGGCGAGGTTCCTGCTCGTCCTCCGTTGAAGGTGCGCAGACCACAGTGGGTCACTGAGCGGCCCGTGGTGGAGGATTGCACGGCCACGCACGCACTACCGTGGCTTTATTTTGTTTGCCATTAATGAAGGAGACGCGGTGCAGCACCGGTCTGCTGTTGGTGGCCTGAAGCGGTTGCTGGTTGCACCACGGGTGGCTTCGATGAATATCAAAGGCAGGAGGAGGTGTACGATGTTTGTGCTGGGCAGTGATAATCACGATAACAAAAACCCACAATATTTAGCAAAACGGACGACACGATGAACCCCGCGACTAGGACATTGCCCGCACGATCGCGAACCACTGACCGTGACCCCCACACGCCATCAACACGGAGCGCTGTGGCGGCTTTCCCATTCAACCGCACGGTTTGGGAAACTTCCTCAAGCCGGCCCTCTCTCGGCTGTCGTGTGTAAGCTTGGCCAAACGAAGCGCGCGGTTGTTCCGAACGACCCCGTCTAAAGCGAAGCGAGTGAAGCGTCGTGACTCGAGTCACGACGCGTCGCGCCGCCGTCGCCGCCACGGCGACAAGTCGGACATCGTTGTGCACGTCCGGTTTTTGCGCGATTCAGTTTGGCGCAAAGGAGATCACGAGGGCGCGTGACGCTCCCTCCGGCTTTCGGGAACGATGTTATGGAAGACACCTCTGGACCAGTTTCGAACCTTCCGGGTCTCATCAGCAGTCAGCCGTATTGAATAAATACTCTAGGATTAACAGATGTTATTTGCCAAGAACGCTTCGTGTCAACTATGGGAACCCCATTCAAAGCTAAAGGGCAGTGCGTTTGCGCCAGAGGAGAGGGAGGCTATCAGCCTCCACACCTGGCCACGTGAGCGAAATAGAATACAATGAATGTCACCTGGGCTCGCCAGGCCTTCAGACCAGTGGCATCTCAAGCCACGGTGAAGGTGTGGTCACGACAGTACAATGCATCGTGGATTTATGAAACGTCTTAACGTGGCTCGGAACGCTCTACGATGTTGTTGGTGGAGGGGGAGGTATTAGGGGCGAGATGTTTTGTAAAGAAAATGATTTCCCCATAAATCCATCTCGAAGAAGGCGAGGTGACGTAGGCCTGTTGCGCCAACCAGAGCGGTCCGCCTTGGCACCCTGACGCCCGACCAGAAACCACGTTGATTGATGACTTGCGAGAAGGTTCTAACTCTGGGCAAGTGACGTCGATTGACGGAGGCGATATCTCTGCATTCATCTTGAAGGCATCAACGAGGCACTTCAGTTTAAATGCCCCGGCTGCCAGGAATCGGGTTCCCACGACTGTTCCCCCAATCACCCCCTCCCACCGCACCCTCCCCTCCCCTCCCCGCCCTACAACCCCCCCAATCTCTGGCTGCCTTGGGGGGCTCAACGTCACGACACATACCTCCCGTCACTACTTTCGCACGGTGAAGTGCGTGTATGTGGTGTACGCGTGTGTGTGTGTGTGTTGTGCAAGTGTGTGTATGTGATTGTGTGTTGCTAATGTGGGACGTGTTAGGTGTGTGTATGTCTTCTTTGTATGTGGTATGTATGGATCTATGTGGTATGTGTTTGTGTATTTGTGGGGTGTGTATATGTGTGTATGTATGTGTGATGTTGGCAGCTGTGTGGACGCTACTTGGTCTGTCGCTCCACACGAAGCTTCGGGTCTTCTGGGCCACAGTTATGCTCTCCCTTCTCTATTCTTGCGAAACGTGGATCCTTCTGAAGCGACATCTGCGCGGTTTAGAAACATTCAGGCTGGCCTGCCTACGATGCATCCTGGGTTTATCCAGACTGGATTGTATAAGGAGCTCACAGTCCCATCATCAGTGAGCTCCTCCGGCAGGCGAGGCTGAGTTGGCTGGGTCATGTAGCCCGCATGCCCAAGCAGCTTCTGTTTGGCCGGATAGAGGGGGCTAAACGGGCGCGGCACGGGCTGCAGAGGCGATGGGCTGATGTGGTACAGGATTATGTGGAGTTTATTGGACTTGTCGACAAATTATACGCACGGATCTATTGAGAATGATTAAAAATCCACGCGACCACGGGGAGAGAGACACGCAAACTCCAAATATACAAGCGTCAGAGTCAGGATCGAACACGTGACCTCTTGCATACCAGGCGAAGTAGTTAACATCTCGCCCGGATAGTGCTCGATTGGACGTTCGCCATGCATAACAGGTGCAATAGGCTACTGGCTCCGCTGTGGGCAGCAGCAGGAGGAGGCAGTGCAGCAGAATGCATTGATCTACGACTGTGTTTGCTTCAGTGCTGTTGTACTTTCTTTCGCTGTTGTCATTTTGGTGACCCAGATCATTCGTTCAAATAAACCAAAATAAACTTGACACTGGAACTTCTGTGCTCTCACACGTCTATGCTCCCCGCCTTCACCAAGCCGCGCTGACCAACGTGGTGAAGTATGGTCAATGAATCTCCGCGGCGTTCGGAAAGCCCTCAATCCAGCAGTGGATCGGGGCACCGCAATGTTTACATGGGCAAGCCGGCCAGGGGCGAAGCACGTGGGCAGAGTGGGCGGTGGCTTACGCGTAGTGGGCGGGGCTTGGTAGCGAGGGGGGGGCGGAGCTCCCGCCCAGAGGGGCGGGGCCTCAGAACAATTACGTCACCGGCTCTCACGCGGATCACGTGGCGGCGGTCACGTTACTTCGCGGGAACCCGGACAAAGCGGAGGAAGGAGTCACGTGACAACTAATCGATTTCTCACAATTGCAAAAAATCGATTGCAATCGACTCGATTACTCTGTTTTACTATTGCGCCGCACGTCCATTGCACGATCTCACAGCGTCTCGACAGCTTTAACGCGACGCGGTCCACATCTCGTGGAACCCAACTGGAAACGACAACTCTATCTGTCTAGAAACAACAAAAATCCGAAGTTAGTTGTTAAGCTGCACGCGGGAATCGATGCGGGAATCGACTGTGAGTGTCGAATCGATGAATCGCGGGGGGGGGGGGGGGGTGCGCGCGGTCTCGGCATTAGCGATGGAGGCGCCGGCTGCTCCGTGTCCCGCCCGGAGGTCGCGGCGGCCCCGCGGGGTCTCCACCCTCCTCCTCCTCCTCCTCGCCGTCTCGGCCCTCGCCGTCTGCGCTCCCGCCGCTGCGGTAAATGCCGTGGCGACGCCTCGCGTTGAATTGTTGTTGTTTGTTGTCGTTGTTGTTGTGACGGGAGGAGCGGTGGCGCAGTGGTTAGCGCGCTACAGCTGCGGAGCAAACCGGCCACAACCCGAGTTCGATTCCCGCTCACGGTGACATCTGAACCGGGCCGAGGTCATCACTGTCCTTCACCAACTGGCAGTGACCAGCGTGGTGAAGTATGGTCAACCCCCACCCCCTTGCACATGTCCTGGTAAGGAAGACGTTGCGCCATGTACTCGTCACAACCATTACCTCCTTGCAGAAGTAAGTCACGTGGGACGTGGGGTGGTTATCTGACCATACTTCACCACGCTGGTCGGTGCGGGTTGGTGAATGTGGGAGCATAGAAGTGCTGTACAGCAGAACTATTACTCTTTGGTTCTTTCGGTAAAGTCACGTAGAAATAAATTAAATTAAGTAATAATAGAATACGACGTTTCGATTGCAACACAAGCAACCATCATCAGTTACAAATGAATGAGAAAACAAACATAATAAACTTGGAAATATAATGCAATATAACACAGAGAGACGGCCAACACAACAGTCAACACCCCACCTGGTTTAATACGTTCTTTCAAAGATTGCTAAATTTGAGAGAGAGACAAAACACAGACACGGAGACACACAGACAGACACACAAGCAGAGAGAGACTCACACATAGGCACAGAGAGAGAGACACACAGAGACACACAGAGAGAGACACAGAGAGACACACAGAGACACAGAGAGAGACACACACAGAGACACACAGAGAGACACACACAGACACACAGAGACACACACAGAGACAGAGAGAGACACACACAGAGACACACAGACAGACACACAAGCAGAGAGAGACTCACACAGAGACACACAGAGAGACACGCATAGGCAGCTATGGGCAGTAATTCCACACAACTCTCCGTGCTTTTTTGTTTAGAAGTCTGACGTGACCCCTGCAAGGGAACAGCTGCTACTGGTGGTGGTTGGTAGTGGTGGTTGGTGGTAGTGGTGGTGGGTAGTTGTGGTGGTTGATGGTGGTGGAGGTTGGTGGCAGTGGTGGTGTTGGATAGTGGTGGTTGGTAGTGGTAGTTGTAGTGGTTGGTAGTGGTGGTTTGTAAGAGTAGATGATCCGAGTTGTCAGCTGCCCGCTGTGGCAGAGCTGTGGATCTGGCTGAAGGAAGGAGGCGAGGCGATGGCACAGTCGTGGTGGCATTTGTGTCACTGGCCACGTTGCCTTTTGATGTTGAGGCATCGTGGGTTTGTGGAGTTGCTAGATTCTGACAAGAGTCTACACCGTGCTTGAAATAACGTGGCTGTGTGTATGTCACGTCCCGCATATAACGCGGGGGGGGGGGGGGGGGGGTAATTATGATCAAGACAAATCGATAACCCGGGGGCACCCCAACTAGAAATTAGCCAGCACGTCATCAATTCGTGCGGTGCGAAAAAAGTTCAACATACGTACAAGCGTCTGAGCAGTGATGACCGTTTGTGGGCACAGTCCCTCGCACAGTCAGAGATTAAATCGCCAGCCGTGCCCGGCTCCTCCGGCAGACGACAGCGGGGGCAGACGAGGCATCGCCCGTCCCATCAGCCCCGGCGGTTTGAGGACTCTAGCCGGATGTGTCTGATCCTGATCCCACAGGGCAGCCGCTCGTTCTCCATAGACCGGGAGCGCGACACGTTCCTGCTGGACGGAGAGCCCTTCCGCTACATCTCGGGCAGCGTCCACTACTCCCGCGTGCCGCCCGCCTACTGGAAGGACCGCCTCCTCAAGATGTACATGGCGGGGCTGAACGCGGTGCAGACGTGAGTACAGGGCCCCCCGACCCCTCTCTGGCGGCGCGTCCTCACGGGGAAGGAAAACCACGCGGCGACATGGCCCAGCGGTAGTCTCTTGTTGCAGGGGTTCACGCCCGGCGGCCATCCTGGTTAACGCTGCAGGTTTATTTACCGTCGTAGACACGCACCCGCCCTCTGCTTCACAGGGGGGGAAAGTGTAGGCCACGTGTGCTGGCGTTGTGGCCTACACTTACTCGCAACATTGTTAAAACACGACGACGATGATGCCTCCCAATGCGTGGATTTTGTGACGTGCATTTGTCCTCAGAAGTATTTAATTCGCGTTAAAAACAAGAACGTTCAAGATGGTCTTCTCGCGAGGACGCACTTCGTAGCGTCACTGTAGCTCTAAGCAGTCGTCTCTCCATGCTGCTTGTGCACTTTTCATCTCTCAATGCAGTCTCCTTTGTCAGTGTCCACCTTTCTGATCAGTATGTCGTAGCAGGTGAGATGCACACTGGTTAAACTCTTTCTCATTTAGGCATATCTACACAATGTTTAGAAGGTGGGAAGGAAAAACCCGACTGCTTGTTATAAATAATCACAAAACCGGTTACTCTAACTGCACATCACGTGCAAGTGTTTAACTGTGGCAGCAAAGGTGTTTACACTTCGGAATAGGTGACACATTTAGTTCTGCTTTCGGCGAGTCCTTTCAACGACGAGTATTCTCAACGTCGGGCTCTTCGAGTCCGTCATGTGACCGCATCTTGCGTGTTGGCGCCCGTTTGTGGTTGATAGTCGCCACCGGGACTTGCGCAACAGTGGGCGCGTTTATTATTTTTTATCTTGTGACTTGACGGATACGTGATTTGCAGTCGGTCATATATTGAAATATGTAATGCACGTTAACTTTTTACGCAGGTTGGAGTATTTTGATTTAAAGCTTGGAGTATGTTCGTTGAACTTCTTTCGCACTGTACGTAGCCAGCCGTGCTCATGGTAGGTGCGGTGGAAAGACAAGAAACTAAACACAAAAATCAGTACTGAAGAAATGAGTTTTCAATCTCGATTTAAAATTGCATAGCTCCAGTGGCTTCCAAATATCGGAGTTGTATTCAGGTTCGAGTTATATTCAGAATTGTAAAATATTATGATCATGCATTCATTCCTGCAATTTGTCTCGAATGTAAAGATACACCAACAGTAGACCGTGTGAAATGGTTAATCTGTGATAACTTTTTCCACGTGATTTAAGAATGCACACAGCCCTTTGTCAATCCACTGCTGGATGAGGGTCTCCCCCCCCCCCCCCTACACCATGCTGTGTCGGTCATGGGTGTTGTTTGACCATACTTCACCACGCTGGTCAGTGTGGGTCGATCATGGGGGAGGTGGGGTGGTGAGAGGGGGGCCTCGACGGGTTCAACTCTTCCCGGGAATCGAACTCGGATTGCGGGGTTCGTGGTGGAGTGCGCTAACCACCGCTCCACCACTTCCCCCTCCCTCCGGCATGCCGACGAGTCTGCAACGTGCCAGGACACCACGCCACAATAAGGCTAGGGGTACTGTTTATGATCAACTTAACATTTGTCTTCTCGTGATGGAATGTGTTCTGTTTTGACATCAAGGCCATCATCAAGTGGAGCGTGTCTGTACTCTGAAGCCAACTAGCTACCTGGGTTCGATTCCTGGTCACGATTTAACATCGGTGGCAAGTGATATCAGAACATGCTTTGGATCTCCTTCCGGTCGACTCGGCCTTAAATTTAGCACATTTAACCATCAGCTCTGGGGAGACAGGCGGTCGGGCGTGCTTCTGGCCGACACCACCCGCTGGTGCGCCGTGTCGTCCTCAATAGGTGTTCGCTAATAGCACTTTACCAACAATCTGTTGGAGGTTACACGGTGGATCTTTGTCTCTTGTGTGCCGCAGCTACATTCCCTGGAACTTTCACGAGGCGGCTCCGGGGGTGTACGACTTCTCCCACGACCGCGACGTCTTCCGGTTCCTGCAGCTGGCGAACGACACGGGACTCCTGGTGGTGCTGCGCCCGGGACCCTACGTCTGTGGAGAGTGGGAGATGGTACGGAGATGCACGTGTGTGTGCGTGCGTGTGCATGGGGAGCGGCGACCCGAGTTCGATTTTCGCTCACGGCCACCAATACCGGTGACGATTATCCGAACCGGTTCTAGGCCTCCCCTTGGTCGACTCAGTCTCAAATTAGTATCTGCTGCGATGTGTAAACATCGCCACTCGGCCACGTGGTGCTGGCCACCCACCTGCTTGAGTGCCGTGTCGGCCTTCATCGGTGCTCGCTAATAGCACTTGCCCCAACAGTCTGCACAGGCTGTATGGGGGATCTTTATTTTGTACATGGACAGTTGTTTGTAGCGTAGTGCGATAACCACTGCACTTACTGTGCCCCATAAACACACGTGGGACATACACGTACAAACATACACAGGTTGTCTAATTTGGTTAGGCGCTCTCTGCGTCTCGTGGGGCTATTTCGCAATCATCAGGCGTGTGCTGCTCGTAACGACCGAACAGAGGCGACCGGTAAACGTAGACAGACCATGGTGGGTCGCAAGGTACTGGAGTTGGAGGACCCCTGTCCTGGAGCGCACGCCAGACACACACACGGAGGCAGTGCGTGGTGTCTCTCCAGGGTGGGCTGCCTTCGTGGCTGCTTCAGAAACCGACGATCGCTCTGCGGACCTCCGATCCCGGTGAGCGTCTCTTCAACACCAGCACGGGACGCGGTTACCCCCCCTGAGCATTTGTTTGTCTTTTGACGGCTGACAGTTTTCACAGTTTGCCTGCAGACGCTACAAAGCCCGTGCTCGTTGTGTTTGCTGGTGCTGTCAGGGGGACCCATGATTGTGCCGTGTGGCTTCGCAGACTACATGCTAGCGGTGGAGCGGTGGATGAGCGTTCTCCTTCCCAAACTAAAACCCTTCCTGTACCAGAACGGCGGGCCGATCATCACCGTGCAGGTAAACCTCATCCTCGGGATTCGTGCCAGTTGCCTTGTGTGCCTCCTGCTGACCACCACGTGACCCCGCAGCCCTGGCCATCACGAGCCATTGTCTATCCACTGCTGGGTGAAGGCCGCATACCATCCCTCAGGGTCAAAATGTCGCTTCCATGTGTCTCACTCCCTGCACAACCACGTGATCTCATTGCTCCATCTCCACGGCAGTCACCCCCCACGGACGCGTTGTCTCTCCCTCGGCCGCCGCTCCGTCCCCAGTGTGCCTACGCCTGGCGCGATGAGCTATGTCTGCGTCCGCGCGTAGGTGGAGAACGAGTACGGCAGCTACTACGCTTGCGACTACAACTACCTCCGCTCGCTGGCGGCGCTGTTCTCTGGCCACCTGGGCGAGGAGACGGTGCTCTTCACCACGGACGGCGCCGGGACCTCCTACCTCAAGTGCGGGACCCTGCAGAACATCTACGCCACCGTCGACTTCGGCCCCGGTAACGCGAGGCCTCGACAACTCTGGGGGCCCCCGCCTTCTCGGCCACTATGTAGGGGGCGGGTAGAGGTGACCGCTGTGGGGATGAGAGGTCGGAGTGCTGAGCTCCTGGGATCAAACTCCAAAACTTGGTGACGGTTTACCAAATCAGTAGAGGGATGAGTTTTGCTGAATCTCTACTTTCAGTAAAAGTTGTTTATATTCGTTTAATCCCGATAGTGCTGTCAGTGTCTTGTCTAGAGAGGTAGTCTTCATTAGAGTTCTCTCAGCGCAGTGCGTCTCTCTGTGTTGGAGCAGTGTAACCAGTGGAAGTAGTAGCGATAGGACGAGAGATAAGGAGGTGACTGACTGCCTGCGTCGCCAGTCGACCCTACCGCTCTGCGTTGAACTCCACGTGGTGTAGGGTGAAGTGCCTCGCTGATGATTTGTGTGTTTCGTGGTGGTGACAGGAGCCGAACCTGACGGAGGCTTTTGGGGCCCAGAGGACGTGCGAGAAGACGGGACCCCTGGTAATTGCCTGGCACTGTCGGCCTCCACGTCTTGCTGCTAAGTCAGCACGGCATGGCCTGGTCGAGTCATGAGGACACTTGTGCTCTTATCTGAGCTTCTATGCTGCTGTCAATATAAAATCTTACTGGTAGGAACCACCTGGTTCCACCAGCCCACAGGGGATTATTGTTTAACCTACTCACGCCGGCTTGTGCCCGCCCTCACAGTCGGCCATATTTGCGGAATACACCACGCCGCCGTTGACCCTGCAGGCCATTGACCGAGCAATCCAACGTTCCTCCCAGCTCCCTCCGCAGGAATGTGTTAATGGTAATTCTCAACTCGTCATTCCACTACTGGCTGAAGGCTCCCACACGTTGTGTTGTCCCTCACAGATGTTTAACCAAACTTCATGTTCATGAAGGGTGGTGGGATACTTGGGATTTTACTCACCAGCGATATTAGCCACGACCAGGAATTTAACTCGGGTCGCTGGGTTCATGGTCCACACACACAAACCTTCCGTCAGTCCACTCGCTGCTGGTCGAGGACCTCCCCATGTCTCGTGGGTCATGGGCGCTAGTGGATCATATTTTACCCCGTGGGTTCCTACGGGTCGTTGAAGGCCAGAAACGTAGATGTGAGAGCTAAGCAGGGCAGTACAATGGGGTTTTGCTTCCCTGCCCACAACTGCCCACCGCTGACCCCCCCACCCCGACCGGGCCGGGCGCTTCCGGGGTGTTTTGTCCATGCCCCCCGTTCCCCGTGAGATCCCCTCGTGGCTTCGCGTTCACGACGATCGCAGTTCTAATTGCGTCCGCGCGGTCCTGTGAACGCAAGGTGAACTCGGAGTTCTACACGGGCTGGTTGGACAACTGGAGACACCCCCACGCCACCGTCTCCAAGGAGGCCGTAGCCAAGACGCTGGATGAGATGCTGGCCATGAACGCCAACGTCAACATGTGAGTGCCTTCGTGCCCCACCCCGAGTAGGAGCCGGGGAGCGGAGCAGGGGTCGGCATCCTGCATCCTGTGGAGCCCCTCGCGGTGGCCTGGCCTCGGTGTGTCTCGGGGCGATGCGTGGGGTCGTGGTGAGTGTGTGAGCACGATGTCAAGCTTGCGGCCCACTGAGGGGAAGGATGGCCGCTCTTGTGGCCCACCGACTCGTCTGGGTTTGACCATCACTGGAATAGACCGAAGTAGGTGGCACGTGACGAGTAGTCGCAGCCATCGCAAAAGTAATACTGGATGTGGTCTGCCAGATGCATAAATATTTCTGGGTCACGAAGCGAACAGACCTCGCTGTGAATGCCTTACTACCGGTGTGACGCAGGGACTTAACGCGGGCGTGTCTGTGTGTGCGTCTGTGTGGGTGGTGGTGTTTTCCAGGTACATGTTTGAAGGAGGCACCAACTTTGCCTACTGGAATGGTGAGCCATCGAGACAACCCGTCGCATATACTCACACGTACAGCTCAGCCATTGTGGTTATGATCGGTCGATATATAATCTTACAGAGTTGACTTGTACTGAAAATAATAATTTATTATTATTTACCAATGGTGACGACCTGGGAAGGCCTTCATCGGGCAGTCGTGGGTTCATCAGAGCGAATTGCGATGATGACGATGGTGCTGGTGAGCTAGCGGAAGACCGGCTGCGTCACGAGTGTGCTGCGTCCGTGGATGTCCCCAGGCGCGAACGAGCCTTACTCGCCGCAGCCCACGAGCTACGACTACGACGCTCCGCTCACGGAGGCTGGCGACCCCACGGACAAGTACTTCCTCATCCGCAGCGTCGTGAGCAAGGTGCTGCTCCTCCACCGCTGCCTCACGTGGGGGCGAACTCATCTCCTTGATCTAGAGGGTCGGGGCCCAGAATGGTTGCCTCCGAATTTGGCATGAAGAATTTGCACCAGGAGCAACTGGAATTGGTCATGCTTAGCATTGTAGAATATTGAGAGGCGACAGATGTGGGGCTTTATAAGTAGTATTTTAGCCTCCTCTTCATGTAATAATGTAAAACGCTTTGTTCATCCACTGCTGGATGGAGGCCTGTCCATGCTGTGTTGATCTTGAAGGTTGTTTGACCGTGCCTTACCAACCTGGTTAGTGCAGCTTGGTAACGGGAGACTCAGGACCGGTTCAGATACGACTTGTCACTGATGTTAGCCATAGTTAGGAATCAAACTCAGGTTGCTCGGTTGTATGTATGTATGTTGAACTTCTTTTGCACCGTACATATTTTTGTGTGAAATAGTTGGAATGGCATTTTTGTTGCCTATCACGGCTTTTAAATGGCAGAGAGAAAAGTAAGCATGTGAGTAGGCGTGTAGTTATTGAGAGACGGGAAGCAATCCTTTTATAGATTTAAATAATTCTTACAATCGCGCGTTACATCTTGCGTGCCAGAATACACTTTCTATGGTTTAGGCAAATTAAATGAAAATGCCATGCACGATCGAGTTCCCTTCTGTCAAACTATAGCAAGACAGGACACACGAGACGGACAATACAAACCAGACAGCACAAAACAAAACAAAATGCTAATGGATTATTGAATCAACTCCTGACCCCCAAATCATCACAATTCATCCGAACGCTGTGTCGCGTGCAGGACGCATGGTTGATGGTACGAGCGATAACTCGCTTTAAAAAATAATTACTCGGACTTAGTGAGGCTTTCTTGGATAAATAAATGCTATTATTGTAACTCCTGTCACCTGTCATCACCCCGGCCCCAGTACAACCGGATTCCGGAGGGACCCGTTCCACCTCCCACGCCCAAGTACGCCTATGGAGCGGTGGCGCTCGACATGGTAACGTGAGCCCGTGCGCGCCCACGCATTCACTGTCTTGCTGGCGTCTCTGCGGATTAAATGTCGACAATTTATTCCCTCGTGCAAGTCTCAAAGTCCTTCTGCCGCCGCAGCAGCGACTCTTTGATGCGCTAAATTGACACGGTTCATTTTGTAAAATGTCATCGCGGCTCGTGGCGTGCGCGACGGGGTCGCAGTGGGAAAGACGCTTGTTAGTCGCGCAGATGGCCAACTTGTTTTCAGAGGTGGGAAATTGTTTTCCTACCAAGAATACAAGTCGGAAATAAGTTTCTCAGATTAACACGTAGGCTTTCGCGAACCAATATTATCTATTAAATAGAGGTTTTTTTTGGGTTAGATTGCACCACCAATTTGTAAGGTTTATCACATAGACATGCCAATTTGTGACGAGTACATGAATGGATTGCACGATTCTCAATTTTATATTCATGAAAGTCTCAAAAATGATCTAGACTTGCATGACATGTATTGGCTGTATAATAAATATTTGGGGGGGGAGGAGGGGGTGCAACTGCCCTGATTGTTCCCCCCCAGGCCGCCCCCCTCCCGCCTGCCCTGATTGTGCCTCTGCTGCTTGCGTCACCTCCCCATTCTGTGCACGAGTACTGCCGTTGGGGAAGTGAGAGTTTCACTTTGGGTCTTACAAAGCTTTGCATCATTCACTTTCATGAATAAATGGTTTACACTCGCCGTGCTTGTCTAGGTGCAGCATGCGGATGCCGTGGAGTTGTGGGGCGACTGCAGCGTGCGGTGCTAAGCCTGTGCTTTGTGTACGCGCTGTGTGTGTGCTGATAAAGGCGGGCACGGTGGCTGACTTCTTGGGAAGGCTGGCCACATCTTCGCCCGTAAAGAGCATGTTCCCTCTCACGTTTGAGCAGATGAAGCAGGTGAGAGCGTCGTCTCTGACGGCCGTGGACGTTTGTCGTCGTCTACACATGGCGCGTTAGTTGCGTGCGCGCCCGTTGTTGTTGGTTAGGCCTTGTGTTCACACAAGCAGTGGAACGCTCAGTCGATCAGGTCAGCCAATTGCTGCTGCAAACACAACTCAGCTTTTCGATTCGAGCTCCTTTACTTGCTAATTTCTCCAGCCCCCACCGTTCCCTGCACGCCACAAACCCTCCCCCCTCTCCCCCGTGAACTCCTACAGCCACGACTCGACAAAACTACTTCCCCCCCTTCCCCCCCCCCTCCCGTGCCTATATAAAGCCACAACAGCAGATACTTTTCTCACCTGAAGATGGACACTTGTGTTGCGACCGAAACGTCGTGTTTTCTTTTATGATTTTTTCTATCTACGTGACTTTACCGAAAGAACTAGAACTAGAGAGTTTGGATGGGGCTGATAAAATAAGTAAAAATAAGTACCACTTTGTGTGTGCACTGGTCGCTCTCTAGAGTTTTGGCTTCATGCTGTACCGCACGGCGCTGCCGGTGGACTGCCCAACTCCGACGCCGCTGCTTTCCTGGCTCAATGGCGTGCACGACCGCGGATATGTAACGCTGGATGGGGTGAGTGCCCGCACCTCGCTCGCTCGCTCACGCTCCTGTCTGAATGCGTGGGCACGCACAGTACGTCAACAAAGTAGGGGCTGTGCCATTCACGTAGAAATGATTTGTTTAGCTTGACAAGGGAGAATTAAAGAAGTCATTTCAAGGTCATGTTTTTTAAAATCAATAAACCTCACTGCTTATGAACCTTAAATACTGACAACGCGATGTTAGTTCTGCCGTGTGCCAACGTGATGTTAGTTCTGCCGTGTGCCAACTCGATGTTAGTTCTGCCGTGTGCCAACGTGATGTTCGTTCTGCCGTGTGCCACGCAGGTGCCGCTGGGCGTCCTGCAGCGCAACAATGCGAGCGGCGTCAATGTGACCGGCAAGGCCGGGTCGCGGCTCGACATCCTTGTGGAAAACATGGGCCGGATCAACTATGGGCGCCATATCAATGACTTCAAGGCAATTTCTTTCCACTCAGCACTTGAAACGTTCACGCATGCGTGCACTCGGTCGCACACGCACGTAGCACTTGCGCACACAAGGTGGACGTATGCACACAAAGAGATACAAGTGTAGGGATTATTCGTGCTTCCACTAAAGTATAAATATTTTGATTGTCAAAGCAATTTTCTTTCTGCATCTGTAATTTTACAATGTGGAATTGCCTCTCGGTCTCTTTTCTCAAGTTCTTTAACCTTCGATTCAAGGTACACATTGACTTGGATCCATTGCAAACTTTAACAACGTCGTTTGGTTCTGGCCGGTGTGACCGTGACCATGTAAAAACTGACCATTTTTTCTAAACATGACGAGTGTGCTTCTGCTGCCGCCGCTACTTCTGCCGCTACTGCAGGGCCTCACAGACAATCTGACGCTGGGCCTCACACCGATTGTCAACTGGACCATCTACTCCCTGGACGTTGACGGTGCGGTGGCTAGCGGGGCCGTGCAGCCTCGCGGTGCCCGTAGCGACGCTGCAGGAGGCCCTTCCTGTGGGCCCGCTTTCTACACGGGCACTTTCAGCATCCCGTCCGGCCTGCCCGACCTGCCCATGGACACTTACCTTGAACTCCCCGGATGGACCAAGGTAAGGGCTTTATTAAAATATATATTTTTACCGATTTTCGACCAAAAATTACGTTTTTAGCAAAAAAAAAGTCTATTTTCACATTTTTATTGATTATATAACATATTTACTACCAATTATTGGTATAAAATCATTTTTTTACAAAAAACACGGGTAGAAATTTTTACCGATTTTGGACCAAAAACGACGTAGGTTAGTATGCCGTTTTAGCAGGAAAAATGATGTCAATATTTTCACATTTTTATTGATTATATAACATATTTACTACCAATTATTGGTATAAAATCATTTTTTTACAAAAACACGAGTAGAAATTTTCACCGATTTTGGACCAAAAACGACATAGGTTAGTATGCCGTTTTAGCAGGAAAAATGATGTCAATATTTTCACATTTGTATTGATTATATAACATATTTACTACCAATTATTGGTATAAAATCATTTTTTTACAAAAAACACGAGTAGAAATTTTCACCGATTTTGGACCAAAAACGACATAGGTTAGTATGCCGTTTTAGCAGGAAAAATGATGTCAATATTTTCACATTTGTATTGATTATATAACATACTAGCCTATAACCCGTCCAAGGACGGGTGTATTGCAGTTAATCTGAAATATTCAATCGAAAATAATGACCCGCTCATGATTATTGTGGGGGCAGGGTTCACAGGAGTGACGTCACCGCTCATGATTATTAATGAGGGGGGGGTGCCTCATGTCATCTTCTCATGACTATTAATGAGGGGGGTGGTTTCCCCATGTGGAGTGACGTTACACACATCACACAGACATTCTTGGCTCATATTAGTAATTTACTACCAAATAATTTTTTTACAAAAAATACCCGAGTTTTTTTTTGTTACGGATTTTCAACCAAAAACGACATAGGTTAGTATGCCGTTTTTAGCACGAAAAATAATGTCAATATTTTCACATTTTTATTGATTATATAGCATATTTACCACCAATTCTTGATATATAGCATACGAGGGGGTGGGTGGCCAGCACCACGCCCGGCCGCCTTTGTCTCCCCAGTGCCGATGTTCACACACCACAGCAGTTACTCGTTTGAGGCTGAGTCGACCTAGGGGAGGCCCAGGAGCGGTTAAAATAATCATCACCGGTGGTGGCCGTGAGCGGGAATCGAACTCGGGTCGCCGGGTTTGTAGCGCAGCGCGCTAACCACTACACTACCGCTTTCCCCACACGCGCGTGCGCGTGCGTCCGCGTCCATAGGTACACACACACGCGCTTGCTGCAGACACACACAACTTTCAGGGTGAGTACGGCAGTAAACGACTGAAATAACAAAGCAGCAAGGCTGCGCGAAGAACGCCTGAGACCTGCAACACATTTGTATGGCACTTTACTCGCGCCGCGGAGGGTTGGGGGGGGCGTGACATCAGCAGGCAAACTTCGTGACGCTTCCGCATGCGCGGGTCACATGACAGAGGTGACGTCACAGCTCACTTGCCGTCCAAAAAAATATGCATTATTGACCCCACCCTCCCCCCAAAAAAGTGTATTTTTTAATGTTTGCATGGTGTACAGTCTGGAAAGTAACCCACATGGCAAATTTCAAGTTTATTGCATGTCGGGAAGTACTCTAAAAAAAATTAACAGACACATTAACAAATTTCCCTTTTATATATATAGAGATATACTACCAATTATTGGTATAAAATATTTTTTAAACTAAAAAATTACGAGTAGAAATTTTCACCGATTTTGGACCAAAAACGTTTGCCGTTTTTAGCAGGAAACTGATGTCAATATTTTCATATTTGTATTGATTATATAGCATACAAACCTATAGCCCGTCCAAGGACAGGTGTATTGCAGTTAATCTGAAATATTCAATCGAAAATAATGACCCGCTCATGATGATTGATGAGGGGGTGGGGTTCATATGGGTGACATCAGCTCATGATTATTGATGAGGGGGGGAGCTCCATGTGGAGTGACGTCACTGCTCATGATTATTAATGAGGGGGGTGCCTCACGTCATCCTCATGACTTTTAATGAGGGGGGTGGTTGCCCCATGTGGAGTGACGTCACCCGCTAATGGTTATTGGGGAGGGGTGCGGCATGTGGAGTGACGTCATGCGCGGGACACACACAGCCTTCTGGCTCGTGATATTAGTTGCTGTGTTGATTAGCTCTACTTTCCATGAAGACAGGTGAAAATGAAAGCTAATTTGCATAAACAAATTTTTGTTTCCGCTCCACCTTCATGCGGAGTGACGTCACCCGTTCATGATTATTAATGACGGGGGGGGGGGGTCCATGTGGAGGTCCCCCACCTGTTCATGATTAATAATGAGGGGGGGGCTGGTCGACGTGGAGTGATGTCACACACGTCACAGACATTCTTGGCTCATATTAGTAATTTACTACCAAATAATTTTTGTTACTAAAAATACCTGCATTTTTTTTTTTTACCGATTTTCGACCAAAAACGACATAGGTTAGTATGCCGTTTTTAGCACGCAAAATAATGTCAATATTTTCACATTTTTATTGCTTATATAACATATTTACTACCAATTCTTGATATAAAATACAATTTTAACTGAAAATACGAGTAGAAATTTTCACTGATTTTGAAGCAAAAACGACATAGGTTAGTATTCTGTTTTTAGCACGAAAAATAATGTCAATATTTTCACATTTTTATTGCTTATATAACATATTTACTACCAATTCTTGATATAAAATACAATTTTAACTGAAAATACGAGTAGAAATTTTCACTGATTTTGAAGCAAAAACGACATAGGTTAGTATTCCGTTTTTAGCAATAAAAATAATGTCAATATTTTCACATTTTTATTGCTTATATAGCATATTTACTACCAATTCTTGATATAAATAAAATTTTAACTGAAAATACGAGTAGAAATTTTCACTGATTTTGAAGCAAAAACGACATAGGTTAGTATTCCGTTTTTAGCAAGAAAAATAATGTCAATATTTTCAAAATTTTATTGATTATATAGCATATTTACTACCAATTCTTGATATAAAATGAAATTTTAACTGAAAATACGAGTAGAAATTTCACTGATTTTGAACCAAAAACGACATAATAATAATGTCAATATTTTCACATTTTTATTGCTTATATAGCATATTTACTACCAATTCTTGATATAAAATAAAATTTTAACTAAAAAAACGAGTAGAAATTTTCACTGATTTTGAACCAAAAACGGCAGGAAAAATTACGTCAATATTTTCATTGATTATATAGCACAACGCCCCGGCCGCCTGTCTCCCCAGTGGCAATATTCACACCACAGCAGTTACTCGTTTGAGGCTGAGTCGACCTAGGGGAGGCCCAGGAGCTGTTAAAATAATAGTCACCAGTGGTGGCCGTGAGCAGGAATCGAACTCGGGTCGCCGGGTTCGTAGCGCAGCGCGCTAACCACTGTACTACGGCTCCCCCCACACACACGTGCGCGCGTCCATAGGTACACATACACGCGCTTGCTGCAGACACACACAACTTTCAGGGTGAGTACGGCAGTAAACGACTGAAATAATAAAGCAGCAAGGCTGCGCGAAGAACGCCTGAGACCTGCAACACATTTGTATGGCACTTTACTCGTGCTGCGGAGGGTTGGGGGGGGGCGTGACATCAGCAGGCAAACTTCGTGACGCTTCCGCATGCGCGGGTCACATGACAGATGTGACGTCACAGCTCACTTGCCGTGCAAAAAATATGCATTATTGACCCCACCCCCCCCCAAAAAAACAAAAGTGTATTTTTATGTTTGCATGGTGTACAGTCTGGCAAATTTCAAATGTGTTGCATGTCGGTAAGTACTCTAAACATTTTAAACAGGCACATTAACAAATTTCCCTTTTATATATATAGAGCTATACTACCAATTCTTGGTATAAAATATTTTTAAAACTAAAAATACGAGTAGAAATTTTCACCGATTTTGGACCAAAAACGACATAGGTTAGTATGCCGTTTTAGCAGGAAAAATGATGTCAATATTTTCACATTTTTATTGATTATATAACATATTTACTACCAATTATTGGTATAAAATCATTTTTTTACAAAAAACACGAGTAGAAATTTTCACCGATTTTGGACCAAAAACGACAGGTTAGTATGCCGTTTTAGCAGGAAAAATGATGTCAATATTTTCACATTTTTATTGATTATATAACATATTTACTACCAATTATTGGTATAAAATCATTTTTTTTACAAAAAACACGAGTAGAAATTTTCACCGATTTTGGACCAAAAACGACATAGGTTAGTATGCCGTTTTAGCAGGAAAAATGATGTCAATATTTTCACATTTTTATTGATTATATAACATATTTACTACCAATTATTGGTATAAAATCATTTTTTTACAAAAAACACGAGTAGAAATTTTCACCGATTTTGGACCAAAAACGACAGGTTAGTATGCCGTTTTAGCAGGAAAAATGATGTCAATATTTTCACATTTAAATTGATTATATAACATATTTACTACCAATTATTGGTATAAAATCATTTTTTTTACAAAAAAAACGAGTAGAAATTTTCACTGATTTTGAACCAAAAACGGCAGGAAAAATTACGTCAATATTTTCATTGATTATATAGCACACAAGGGGGTGGGTGGCCAGCACAACGCCCCGGCCGCCTGTCTCCCCAGTGGCAATATTCACACCACAGCAGTTACTCGTTTGAGGCTGAGTCGACCTAGGGGAGGCCCAGGAGCTGTTAAAATAATAGTCACCAGTGGTGGCCGTGAGCAGGAATCGAACTCGGGTCGCCGGGTTCGTAGCGCAGCGCGCTAACCACTGTACTACGGCTCCCCCCACACACACGTGCGCGCGTCCATAGGTACACATACACGCGCTTGCTGCAGACACACACAACTTTCAGGGTGAGTACGGCAGTAAACGACTGAAATAATAAAGCAGCAAGGCTGCGCGAAGAACGCCTGAGACCTGCAACACATTTGTATGGCACTTTA